GCATGCACATCGGCCATTAATGAATCACTTCTGAAGTTTTGGAAAGTTTTGAATGTTTTATGCAAAAATCCAGAAGTGACTTTAGAATCGAAGCACCTGCTTGCATGCTGGTCGCTTCTGTGGCGAGAGAATCAGCCGTCTACGAAGACGTTGCCCAGGGGACGCCTGGATGTCTTGCAATCCTGCGAGGAGGCTTCTCTCATGTCCCCCAGACATAGAACTGACTGGTTGCCCTGGCACGATAGATAAATCAATCAATCAATCAATCAAAGCGCCAGGGCCCCCTACTTTTGAACACAGTTGAGAACCATCTTTTTTTGGATAGCACGCGCATAACAGTGTCCAAAATGTAATAAAGATTCCTGTGTTATTACATTATTAGTCCAAAGTTATTTCTTTGGACTCCAGCTCCCATGACTTTTTCCCCACAGAAAGACCTCAGGGCTTTATAGGCGAAAGCCAGCACGTTGAATTGTGCTCGGTCGCAGACTGGCGAGCAATCTAGCTGCCGCCCGTCGGACTATTTGAAGCTTCCGAACAGTCTTCAAAGGCCCCCCAACAAGGAGTGCACTGCAGGAATCTATTTGGGATTTATTTATTTATTTGTCGTGTCAGGGCAACCAGTCCATTATATTACATTTCTAACAGAACAAAGCAAACAAACAGAAAAATACAAAATTTGTGAGTTTGGTAGTTGATTAAATGTCCTTTGACCAGTCTCTGGCCCCTTGGAGTGCCTCTGGTGTTGCTGCAAGAAGGTCCTCCATTGTGCATGTGGCAGGGCTCAGGTTGCATTGCAGCAGGTGGTCAGTGGTTTGCTCCTCTCCACACTCGCATGTCGTGGATTCCACTTTGTGGCCCCATTTCTTAAGGTCGGCTCTGCATCTCGTGGTGCCAGAGCGCAGTTTGTTCAGCGCCTTCCAAATCACCCAGTTTTCTGTGTGCCCGGGGGGGGAGTCTCTCATTTGATATAAGCTATTGATTGAGGTTCTGGGTTTGAGGCTGCCACTTTTGGATTCTCGCTTGCTGAGGTGTTCCAGCGAGTGTCTCTGTAGATCTTAGAAAATTATTTCTAGATTTAAGTCGTTGACGTGCTGGCTGATACCCAAACTTTGAGAGTTCTTGGAGAACGGGAGAAGTTCCAGCAGATTGGAGGAGGGCCAATGTGGTCCCAATCTTCAAAAAGGGAAAAAAGGATGACCCAAACAACTACCGTCCGGTCAGCCTCACGTCGATACCAGGCAAGATTCTGGAAAAGATTGTCAAGGAAGTGGTCTGCAAACACTTAGAAACAAATGTGGTCATCCCTAATAGTCAACATGGATTTATCAAAACAAGTCATGCCAGACTCATCTGATCTCTTTTTTTGATAGAGTTACAAGCTGGGTAGATGCGGGGAATGCCATGGATGTAGCGTACCTGGATTTCAGTAAGGTCTTCGACAAGGTCCCCCATGACCTTCTGGCAAACAAACTAGTCCAATGTTGGCTAAGCAAAACTACGGTGAGGTGGATCTGGAATTGGTTAAATAGACGAACCCAGAGGGTGCGCACCAATGCTTCCTCTTCATCCTGGAAAGAAGTGACGAGCAGAGTGCCATCAGCAGGGTTCCGTCCTGGGCCCGGTCCTGTTCAACATCTTTATTAATGACTTAGATGAAGGGTTAGAAGGCAGGATCATCAAGTTTGCAGACAACACCAAATTGGGAGGGATAGCCAATACTCCAGAGGACAGGAGCAGAATTCAAAACAATCTTGACAGATTAGAGAGATGGGCCAAAACTAACAAAATGAAGTTCAACAGTGACAAATGCAAGATACTCCACTTAGGCAGGAAAAAGAAATGCAAAGATACAGAATGGGATGGCTGGCTCAAGAGCAGTACGTGTGAAAAAGATCTTGGAGTCCTCGTGGACAACAAGTTAAACATGAGCCAACAATGTGATGTGGCGGCAAAAAAAGCCAATGGGTTTTGGCCTGCATCAATAGGAGCATAGTGTCAGATCTAAGGAAGTAATGCTACCCCTCTATTCTGCTTTGGTTAGACCACACCTGGAATATTGTGTCCAATTCTGGGCACCACAATTCAAGAGAGATATTGACAAGCTGGAATGTGTCCAGAGGAGGGCGACTAAAATGATGAAGGGTCTGGAGAACAAGCCCTATGAGGAGCGGCTTAAGGAGCTGGGCATGTTTAGCCTGAAGAAGAGAAGGCTGAGAGGAGATATGATAGCCATGTATAAATATGTGAGAGGAAGCCACAGGGAGGAAGGGAGCAAGCTTGTTTTCTGCTCCTCCCTGGAGACTAGGACGCGGAACAATGGCTTCAAACTACAAGAGGAGATTCCATCTGAACATGAGGAAGAACTTCCTGACTGTGAGAGCTGTTCAGCAGTGGAACTCTCTGACCTGGAGTGTGGGGTAGGCTCCTTCTTTGGAGGCTTTTAAATAGAGGCTGGGTGGCCGTCTGTCGGGGGTGCTTTGAATGTGATTTTCCTGCTTCTTGGCAAGGGGTTGGACTGGATGGCCCATGAGGTCTCTTCCAACTCTTTGTCTTTGATTCTATGATTTTTTGGGACTGGGGGGTGGCTTAGATACAACACAATGTGCCTGGAACAACGCAAAAAATAAACATACAATGCAATGAAAGAGAAAACCAGAAGCATATAAAACAATTACTTATACTTAAAAACAGCCCCCAATAAACGAAGGGACCTGGTGAGGTTCCACTAAGTCAGATCGGACAGGACAGAGAACAAAGTCATTTGGGATTGAAGGCCAACCACAGAAGTTCATCACACTTTGGCCAAAATGGAGGCAAGTACCAAGTTACCACTCGATGATGCACAAGCGCACCTTTGCAGAGAAAACCATGACTTTCAGTACAATTTCACAGCCATTCAGACCTCCCACGCCTCCCTCCTGATTGGCTGTGAAATGAGACAGCTGGGATTCATGCCATGATTGGTGGGGATCCCGTTGGCATCACAATGGGAAGGAGAGGTTCCCCATGGCAGGAAGAACGGCCGATTCTTGGAGGGTTTGAAGGTCCATTCCGTTGCGAGGACACCCTGCGGAGGGGGCAAAACAGAGGAGGGAGATGGCGTGGGTGTGCAGGTGATTCCCTGATTGACTTAATGTCTCATTCCGAAGAAGGCAACAGTGCCAGGCACGGAAGAGAAAAGGTGATCATGCCACAGAGCCAGAGGGTCAGGTACCCACTCAAAAGGCTCATTTATTCACCTTTGCTTAGCCTTTTCATCTGTGGGAATCCTAGACCTCTGGACACACCTGGCCAGGTAAAGAGTGCAAAACATCCCTACTGATAAAGGGATTGTCTGTCTTATCACTTTCACACCAAAGGGATTCCATGTCTAGGCTGGGAGATCGCTAGAGGGATGTTTACTGAGGGTAGAGGACTCTCCGTTCCCAGGGTTGGATGTACATAGAAGGGAAGGGGACCAGGGGCCTTCACCATACATTTGAGACACTCTGAATACAGCAGGTCCCAAGATAGAATTCAATACATTTATGGAAGGTTTGGGGTTCCCTTGCCAGGTCCTCCCGAGGCTTTCAGGGGCTTCCAAGCGGTGGAACTATGTGCCCTGGGTCTCTCCCCGCATCCCCTTCCTCGCCTCCTGAGCACTCAGAGCCTGGCCAGGCCACGAGAGAAGGTCTCCTGGAAAGGGAGAGGCCTCTTCTCATCCAGAGGAAATCCTAGTCCTGGCCACGGAGTCTCTGGGTTTGGCATTCACTGAGTTTTCACACTAACAACTATTGATATTCTGCATTTTGTAGTTGAAGGCTTTCATAGCCGGAATCACTGGGTCGCTGAGAGTCTTCTGGGCTGCGTGGCCGTGTTCCAGAAGCATTCCCGCCCACACCTCTCTATGGCAGGCATCCTCGGAGGGGTGAGGCCTGTGGGAAAGCAGGCAAGTGGGATTAATATAACTGTGGGAAGCCAGGCAGGAAGCAGCCAGGCTTTGGACCTACAAGGCCATTCAATGGTAATGAAGGTGGTCAATTGAAACAGACAAGAGTTCTTTCTTTCTTCCTCCCACCTGGGTATCCCTCCA